AAGTGGTCCCAGTGTCCAGGAGGAAAGAAATTGATCACCCTGATACTGCAATAACTATCCCGAGTTCCCATCAGACTAACAGTGGCTGGACCAAGGGAGCCCCGGCCCCGTCAGTCATTCATGGCCAGGCCTAAAATCTTGGCTGGAGGATGGTCTGCATCTGAGGGGCATGGGGACAGTCAACAGCCTAAAGTCCCTCTTGGTGGCACCTTGAGCATGGCCCAGGTAGCCTGCAGGAATTAGGGCAGGCCCAGGTCCAGTGACCCCCCACCCTGACCACATCTGAAGCAGGGACCCAGTGGTCGTCAAGCCCTAGGAGGCAGGGGAGCCCAGGCAGTCACTTGGGTTGGTTGAATGGCCTTGGCTAGCATTTGATATTTCTGTTTATAATCTTTCTCACCTCTCCCATGGTACACCTTAAAGACCAGTGCTAAGACTTCTGCCTGTGAGGTTAGGGGTCCTCTCTCCAAATGCTTAAGCTTTGCCCTAATGTCGGGGAAGCTCTGGGAAAAGAAATAGGTCATAAGGAGTTGTCTGCCCTCTGGGCTTTCAGGGTCTAGAATGATATGCTGTAAGAAGGCCTTTGTGAGGCATCCTAGGACCTGAGATGAGTTTTCCTGTTTGTTCTGGATGATTTCATGGAGTTTTTCATAGTTAACTGGTTTGAGCACAGCCTTATGGAGAACTGCCAAGATGCAGGTTATAAACTGATCTCTAACTAGAATGCCCCCTGAAGGTATTCCAGTCCCATCGAGAATCCCTATGGAAGGGGGTTGTTGCTTTGGTGGATTTCATCTGCATGTGCTCTAGCCTGCTCCCAAACTCACCTGCATTGTTAGCTAGAATCGTGTGTGTGTGTGTGTGTGTGTGTGTGTGTGTGTGTGTGTGTGTGTGTTAGCTAGTGGGGCTATACAATTAAGTTATATACTGAAATTCTTTCATGAAAGAGGTAGAGTTAGACATATAAGACCCCAGGGTTTTTTTTTGTTTGTTTATTTGTTTTTTCCATTTGAGAGAGCTCACTTAATGAAAAGGGGGCACGTAGTTTAACCAGTCCATTCACTCCCTCAGCCTCTTGCAAAGGGAGAAGAGTGGCCCAGTTGGGCTGGATAGAGAGATAAAGGTGGTTCCATTGCTGATATCCTGACTTCTCCCACTCCCTGGGTCCTGGGCAACCTGGCCCTGTTCCTGCTCCCGACTCCTCTCCTTCTTCTGCCCCAGTGGTTTCTCCTCAGGACCCACCTGTCACTCTATGCCTGTCCTCTCCTGGGCCTGGGCCTTCTCCTTAGGGAACCTTTCCTGGTCACGGGGTCTCTCTAATCCTGGGGCTCTCTCCCCGCCCTGGGATTGCTCTTCACCAGGCTACCTTCCCTCGCCCCTAAATCCATCTTTGACAGGTGATTGTTCCTCACTGACAGTTGTCAAAGGTTGCCTGGCTGTGTTATGTCATGCATGCGTTAGTTGGCTGCATAAGGATTCTGCATGCATAAACCAGTATGGCTGTGTCATGCATGCGTTAGGTCGCTAAATAAGGGCTCCACATGCAGAAACCACGTGGAACTGAGGCCTCGCAGAGCTGGGCCAAAGGCAGCTCCATGACTCCAGTTTAAATGGCCCCAGCTGCTGAGCCTCACTCTAAACCATTCCCATTCCCTACATAATCAAGCGCCTCTGGCCTGGTCTCTTTTTCTTTCCATTTCTGCTCCCCTCTCTTTGCTCCCTTTCCCAATAAGCTCCGTGTGTGTTTGTTGAGTTTGGATCGTGTTTCATGTTTCATCTCCCGAAGCTGCAGCAAAAGAACACCCATAGTGGAGTGGGAGTGAGTCGGGGGGGGGGTGAAAGTGGGTGCCAGAGTCGGACGGTGGGAACAGCCTGTTACTGGAGAGAAGGGGCCGGATGAGCTGAAGGAGCAGTTGTGTGTTGAGGCCGATAGAGTGGAGGCTGTCATTAGCAGGATCCAGGGGAGTGGGTGGCTCCTTTAGCTCAGACTTCATAGCTAGGAGGAGCTGAGTGGGGGAACAGGAAGAACAGAGGGAGGCTTGGAGCTGAGGTAGGAAAGGGCTTGTCCATAAGGTTTTTCTCTTCCACCTGCTTGATTGCTGGCAAAAGGAGCAAAACTCCAGCATCAAGCCGGACGGTGGTGGCGCATGCCTTTAATCCCAGCACTCGGGAGGCAGAGGCAGGCGGATCTCTGTGAGTTCGAGGCTACGCTGGACCAACAGCCTCCAAAACAATACAGAGAAACCCTGTCTCGTAAAAACCAAAAAAACAAAATCCAGTATCATACTGGGACCCAGGGTGCCAGTAGATGGCCATTTTGATTGATTATCTAAGGGATATTTGGGTAATACTTCACTGCAAAGGCATGAAAGTTTAGAAGCCCTTAAGTCTAGTGCTGAGTGTAAAGGTTTGAGGTTTCCCAAGAGGCATCCCAGTGGGGAGCTTGGAGGTATAGACAAAGACACAGTTCTCATGAGTGAGGCAGACAGGTAAGACCCAATAGCCTGCAATCCCTAGCATCCCAGGAATTCAAGGAGGATCGAATTAAGTAGGCACGGGCTGTCCCCAAGCGTCATCGTGCAAGGAACAGGGGACAAGGACTGGGAGACCAAGAGAGATGGTGGCTGACTGGTACCAGGACTTGGCAGGGCCAAAAGTCAAGAAATAAAACAGGAGAGAGTAGTAGGTGAGTGTTGGCAAAGAGAGTCAACTGTAGCCTTGAAGACTGGGCTTGGGGGGTCCCAGGGGGATGCTGGGTACTCAACTCCCACAGATCCAGAGAAGCATTCATGCCAAACGGGAGAGTGGAAACTCACCAATTCTTCTCATGGTGGGTGGAGGGCCCAGTGATCAGTCAGGTAAAAAGTGAACCTGCTTTCAGGTAGGCTGTGGGTGAGGAGGGGTCCAAGTCTCATGGCACCAATGTTGCTGTTGGTTTTTTGTTTTTGTTTTGTGACACAGAACAGTGGCAAGAAAAGGTTACACCATACAACAGAACTCATGTGGGAGGTTTACTGGGGAAGGGGAATAGAAAGTGGAGGGAAGAGCAGCCTCTGGAGACGGGAGCAGTGGAAGAGAGAGGGAGGCACGCTTTTTCATAAGGGGTATGACACGTGTGTGTAACATGTAGTCTTTCCCGTCAGCCGCCTGGGCCCTGCCGAGCTGTCTTAACCCCCAAATAACACACAGGACACTATATTAATTATAAGCTGTTGGCCATTTGTTATTGTTTCTCATTGTTTAGCTCTGACTTAATTATTGACCCATAATCGTCAATATATATTTTATAAGGACTCATCTTTTCGAGGGGTGAGCCCACAATGCTGTCCATGCCCAAAAGGGCGGGGACAGGGGGATGGACACAGGTGGGATATTTAAGGAAAGGGAAAGTAAATGTATTCTCTCTTTGGAAACCTACGACGCTCCTGATCTTCCAGCTTGTGTGTAAGTTCTTTCTCTGATAAGTAAATATATTGTTTTCCATATTACATTGACCTCCCTCATCACACGTGCACTTGGCTTCAAAATATATCTTGTCTGTACCCTTAGGGCTGGCCAGTGTAGGTGCCTGAATTCTAACTAGCGCATATGCACAGGATTGTTCTTAGTGGCTGCAGTTAAAGACCCCAAGGGCAGGCAGACATAATGCCTGAATGCTAACAATGGGGATAGACTGTAGTCGGAGGGCTGAGAGGGTCCACAAGAAGGAGGAATCCTGGGCCCACTCCAAGGTTTATCATAGTATCAGAGTTCCCTGGGAGTAGAGGCAGGATGACAGGACAGGCCCGGCAAGCAGACTGCTACAAGGATGAGGCCGATCCATTCTACTGCGGGTGAGAATAAGAATGAGAATTGCCTACCCGGGTCCCAGCCCAGTGTGGCCAGTGGGATCCCAGGTAGTGTTTCTGTGCATCTGTGGCTGACACAAAGGTATGGTGGGGGCAGGGAAGAACACTGGATCCGGTGCAAGGTTTGGTAGTGCTCCCAGGGATGGGGATAAGGTGGGAAGACCCTTGCTCGTGGTCTGCTGTTGGGCTGGGAACGAGACCACAAGAATCGTGACAGCAGACAGAAGGGAGAGTGGGAATCACCTACCTGACTCCCAGCTGGTGCACTCTGTGTGCTAATATTTTGGTTTGGAGGATTTGTCTCTTGGGGAAAGTGGAGCATTAATGGCACCTATTATGATGTTAATCTGATGTTTTATGTGTGGTGATATTTGCTTTATGAAGTTGGTGGCACTTGAATTTGGTGCATATGTTTAAGGTTGGGCTGCTCCCTTAATAGGTATGAAGTGGCTGTCTTTATCTCCCCTGGTTAGTTTTGATCTGAAGTCTATTTTGTCAGATATTAGGATTGCAACCCCTGCTTGTTTCCTGATTCCGTTTGCCTGGGATGTCTTTGCCTCTCTTTTCACTCTAAAGTAATCACTATCTTTGGTGATTATGTGTGGTTCTTAGAGGCAGCAGAATAATGGAGCCTGTTTTTCAGTCCAGCCTTAATCTACATCTATCATGGATAAGAGCCAGCAACTCTCCATTACTTTTCTGTTAGAAAGCACCTGAATGAGTCCTCCCAAATACCTATGAGACAGGCCACTATTATCCTCATTTTACCAATGAGGAAACTGACTTGCGGAGGAAAGCTAATGGCCCCTGTCCTGGCATTTCCTAGACCCTAGACACAAGGCTGCATCTTTCTGCCTAGGCGCCAGTGTGGGACAAAGAGGAAAGTGCTGGTAGCCCATACCAGCAATGCAAGGTCATCTTCTGACCCAAATCATGGGACTCACAGTCACACTCTTTATATCTGAACCTCGGGCTCATGGTCCCTTAGTGCCCCTCCCCTTTTCCAGAATCTGGTCATGTCTTCTTGCAATGGTGACTCATGCTATGCAGCAACCATACCATGGGAGCCACCATTCTCTGGGGCTCACACTGGTCAACCACCTCCATGACAGCACCAGGAGGACTGTATTTCCTTAATTCCTACTTCCACAGGAAGCCGCCATGGATGCTTGGGACCTACTGAGGCTACTGTTGCCCCTTAAGAGAGCCACAAGCCATCTGAGCGGGGCTGATCACGAACACCGGTCACGTGCTGGCCCGAACCATCATGTTTTCTGTACCTTTGCTCAACACCTACTCCCTTGTTCACTAAAAGACTTGGGTATCACCACAGACACCAAGGACCCGGAAGCAGACAAAGCGAATCTGTGCCTGTAAGATAGAAATATGGGATCATCACGTTCCTGGCGAAATTCGTTCCTATTAAAGGGACCACATGGTGCTAAAGAGTCGGCAAGGTAGACAGATCATCAGCCGGAACTTCAGGGTTGTGGAGAGTTGGAATGTCACAATGTCACAGGTCCAGAGTCGAATCACCTTGGGATGTTGTTAGTCCCTTTCTTGCCCACCTCTGGGTCTGCCCTGACATCCTTTTAACCATCAGACTAAACCTTTGTGATGTATTAACAGACTGCTAGCTTTCCCCAAACCCAGTGCTAATAATGTCATCAGATAGCAGAGACTCACCGCTTTGTAACCCGCCTACCTGATGCCCCCATCAATGTATTTTTAAAATGCCTTGATTTATGACTTTCTTTGTTCTGTTACTATAAAAAACCTCCTGAAATGGTTACCAGTTTAGAACACTGTATTTGGGGCAACCCAAATCTGTTCCGAGGCCATAGACACTCGTATTTGGCTCTAGAATAAAGAGATGAGAGTGGTGTTTTGTGTTGATACTCTATTTGCTAGTTCATAGTGCACAATGATAGTAAGAGCAGACACTGGGTGGGTAGGAAGCCGTGGCTGGGCCTTTCCAGTGGGATAGAAGCAGAAGCTGCCAGAGGCAGGGCCACCTGGCCAGAGGGTGACTAAGGACAGAGAGGTACCAGAGCGGAACCACCCAGCCTCTGTAGCAGACAGTGACAGCACCATCAGGCCTTCAGTGTCTGCTGTGACCTAACAGTGCCCTCCTGGATATTCACCCTAACAGTCTGCAAGTCACACACCATGCACTGAGCACTGGTGTGCACTAGGTTCTGGCCCAGAGTGGGATCTGTGAGTGTAATCCCATTCTGAGTTCAGAGACTGTGCCTTCACACACACAAACACAAACACAGAGAGAGAGAGAGACAGAGAGAGACAGAGAGAGACAGAGAGAGAGACAGAGAGAGAGAGAAAGATTTGCACATATACACATGGAAACACACACAGAGGCAACAGATACACATAGACACAGAGAAAGAGAGACATACAGGCAGAAAACAGACATACAGCTATACACACACACACACACACAGATTGATACATAGGGAAACACATACAAAGGCAACAGACACACACAGCCACAGAAAGGAGACACACCCAGAAAACATACACAAACACATATAGAGAGACACATGGCTACACACACATACAGAGAGAGAGAGAGACAGAGAGACAGAGAGAGAAACACATTGTTACACACACAAAGAAAGACATTGTTACACAGAGAGAGATAGAGAAACATTGATGGACATACACACATGGAGACACACACAGAGAAAACAGATACACATAGACACATGGCTACACACACATACAAAGAGACATTGATACACACACATACATACATGGAGATACACAGAGGGAACAGATACACTTAGACACACAGAGAGATACATAGCTACACACACACACACACACACGGAGAGAGAGAGAGCTATTCTGCCTCTTTTTAGAGCCTGGAGGATCTTGTTAGGGCATCGTGGGGAACCACTGTGGGCAGGGCATCTTTGGGATTGGGAGGAAACCTGCCCAGGAAAATTCTCCCTGCAGGAAGGTCTGTGGCCACACCCCAATCATCTGTCACAGGCAGAGTAGCCGTGTTCTGTTCTGCCTGGCCAGTCTCTCCCCAGTCCAGGCTGTGACTGGTCCTCTCTGAACCCAGAGCCTTTGGAGACCCTGCCATGTTGCACAAAGGCCCAGTAACAGCAGATATCAGTTCCAAAGGGGAAAAGTAGGGAAGACAGATCTCGATGGTCTCCCTGCATTTGAGCCCATCCTGAGGGTGAGGAAACAGACTTTGGTGGCCTCACACTGGGACACCCGATGCTGAATCTAGTGTGTTTCCCCCAACTAGACACAGCAGGGTCTAAGGCTCCCCATAGCCTCAACTATTTGCTGGAGCCTGGGGGAAGGGTACCTCCCCATAGGGCCACAGAAAGGGTGGATGAGACAAGCCTTCCTTTCCAGTATTTATCGAGCACTTCCTGGGTGCTAGGTGCTAGCCCACTAAACAAAACCAGAGGGAAAACCCTGTGCTTGGGGTTTCTCTGGTTACATTCTGATGGGGGACAGAAAATAAACAATCAATTAAAATGCAGTACGGTGCCAGGTGGCAGGAAACGCTTTGGGGGAAAACACATCTGTTAGGAGGAGAGTGGAGAGGCAGAGAGCGGGCAGTGAACAGCATCTTGCTCGATGTCAGCAGGAACGTGAGTATGACGCTGAAGGGAAGGAGTGAGCCGTGTGGCTGAGGAAAGCTGAGGAGGCAGCCAGAGGCCAAGGTTCTGAGGCAGGAGGATGGCTGTGAATGAACAAGAGTAATGAAAAGACAGAGGAGAGAACAGGAAGGGCCAATGTCTGTGAGTCAGAGGAGCAGCAGGGCCACCCGGCCCCATGAAAAATGACAGGCAACTACTTCACCACAAGGCTTCTTTTGAAGGGCCCATGGGGTCAATGGTAGAGTCAAGAAGCCCCAAAAAGGCGGCCACCGAGGCGGACTGTGAGATGGGCAGACACAGCGGGGGTCAGACGGGCAGGTGGCCTCTGAATATAATCTGACTGGTGTTGTCCAGGAGGGAGCCACTGGTCCCAGGCAGCAATTTCAGTTCAGGTCGATTACAATGAATGGATCAGAACGGTCAGGTCCTGGGCCATGCTGGCTACCTTGACAGGGCTCACCAGCCATGCGGACACATCCATTCTGTAGAATGTTCTGACAGTGTTCCTGAAGACATGGGAGGATCTTCCTGCCCTCGTGTGGATGGGAGCGGTCAAGGACTGTACCCTTGCAGGATGGATTCAAGCAAGCTGAACTAATTAGCTTTGTTCTCGTGCGCTGGCACCAGGGAGAGGGGAAGCCTGAGGTCAGCCTTGGATGCTGTCCTCTGTTGCTTGAGACAATCTCTCATTGACCTGGGGCTCACTGGTTTGTCTAGGCTAGCCGGCCAGCAAGCCCCGGGATCTGTCTGTCTCTACCTCCCCAGCACTGGCCTTTCAGGCACAAACCACTGTGCCTGGCTGTTTTATGGTCTAGATGAAACTCAGATTCCCATGCTGGTCTAGCAAGCATTTTACCAACTAAGCTATTTCCCCCACCCATATCATTTTCATTTTGGTCATTCACTCATTCCTATTTTGGTCATTCACTCATTCCTACAGAGTACTCAGGAAGATGGGGACAGCAAAGCCAAGAACCCTAGGAAGAGCATTCCGTCCCTGTATCCCCAAGTTTAGAAGGGGCCTTCATGTTCCTTAAGCGAGGTCAGTACCCCTTCTCAGACCCACAGCCTGATTTAAAGACAGCAGGCTAGACCTCCAACTCCTATGCCTGCAGAAGATGCTGAGGGACTTGTGTGGGGCTCCTTCTGATCCAGCCTTGGGTGGTCACTTCTCTCCAGCCTCAGTTTCCCCACTATGGGATATGGCTTATCTTCTGACTACAAGGCTGGCTGAGGACAAAGTCTTAGCTCTGAGCCATTAGCAGGACCCTGAGGTGGAGAGGCAAAGTGGGAGGACCATTCCAGGGGGTGAACCTGGAATGCTCATGGCCCACTGAATCATCACCCTGCTGGTGCCCAGAGGCCAATTACAGCCTTTCACCATTGTGATCTGCAAAATACAGCCCAGGTCACTCACACACCAGTGGAACAACAGAGCCCCTTTGGCAGTCCCTGGCTCTGGGCTCCTGACTCTCCCCCAGATAACCTACACCAGATTCCCATAGGCACAAGACAAAGAGGGTGATAAGGGAGGGTTCCTGTGACACACACCTCTGTACCTCCTCTGGGGGCTGTGAAATGGGGCAGGGCCAGCAACCAGGCACACCACCTCACAAAGGGGAGAGTGATTACAGCATCCAGTATAGGAGGCCAGCTGTGTAGTCCGGCCTGCACCTGGTCCTGGTGGCACCTTCACGCTTCCCAACAGCTGGTGCCTGTCCTCCTGGGCCTCATGCATCCACTGGCCCTGTCCTGAGATCAAAAGGTCTTTTGGACTTGCAAATGTTCACTCATGCAATCCTCCCCCCCCCAAGCCCTGTAGTGATCCAAAGAAAATGTGCGTTTCTATGACCCCAAGTGTGATGAGGTTCAGGCCACCAGTGTTGCTGCCTCTGAATGAGGCCATCTGCCCACTAAAGTCCAGACCTTCACACACTGTCCCCTGACAACTCAAACCAGAACACTGGAACCCAGGCCACAGGCACTTCGGATGTGTGCATAACCTCACTAGGTTTGGAGTTGTCTGCCCTTAGCTGAACCAAGTCATCAGAGGAGAAGGGACACATTGACATTCAGCAACCTCATTCCTGCCAGATAGACTGGACCATTAGGCTGAGAACCTGGAAGGACTGAAGTTTAGTCTTAATTCATAAGGAAAAGATGGAGAATTGCTCTCTGGCCTCAGCTCTTGGCCACTGTAGGCAAACTTCAAGGTGTTCCCAGAGAGCAGAGACAGCCCTGTCCCCCAGATCACTTGTGTACTGATAGAAGAAAACCAAGGGGGCCCCCTAGCTGTTTTTCATAGTCCATTTGGCTCTGACGCTGTGGTCTGACTCTGTTCTGGTTTCCAGGAAGACTTTGACAGGTTCAGAGAGGCACCCAGTTACTGAGACCTCAGTTTGGGGCACAGCTGGCCCTGCCTGTGTGGACCCTTACAGGGACCCTTCGGCTCAGGGAATCTAGCTGCTTGGCCAACTAACGAGAAGCGGCCATAGGTGGACACGGGCTCAGAAAGCCGATCCATGTAACCAGGACCCTGTCCACTCCATTTTCTCCCTCTCCTGGTCCCCTAGCATCTCTCAGGCCCTCCGCAGCCTTCCCCATCATAGGACGAGAGGCAGGAGGGCAGAGAGGGGAAGATTAAGCCGTGCTAGCAAGTGGCAGGCTCCAGGCTGCTCAGATGCATCCTCGCTGAGTCTGCAGCAGGCAGTCAGCCCCTCCTGGGTACCTCATCCACACACAGGGACAGTGATGGCTGAGAACATTAAATTACATGAGGTGTTGCTGCGCGCCTTTCCAGTCGAGTCTATTTCTATTCACCCCAGAGAGAGAAAGGGCAATGAAATACCAAAGAAACAATTTCATCCAAGCCCGGCTTGGTGAACCAGTGAGTTTATTGGGGTTACAAGAAAGTGAGTGACAGGAACAGTGACATCACCAAACATCCCACCCCCCAGTATGGGTGGTGATCAAAGCAGCTCTACCCCTGGAGTCTCCGGCAGTTTGCAGGCTGCTCTGCCACTAAAGACTCCCCTCCCCCTTATCCTAAATAGATAAAGGAGTGGGGGGAGTCTCCTAAGTTCCTTGATTCTCTTGTGAGCTTCATTTAGAGTTTGTCTTGCATTGTCAAAATTGGGGTTGGAAAGGAATCGAGACCATGATGGGGAAACCCACAGAATCAGCTGCCCAGAGCTAGTAAGAGATCACTGACTCCGCACTGTCAACTGGGGTACCAGCAT